ATTTTAAATTTCAAAAATGGTTAAAATCAAATAGATCTATAAGCACATGAAAATCTTGAAAATGGACGGTGTAAATAATATGTTGTAAAATGCACTATTTTTTAGACTTGAAATCTTTTTATTTTTCATAGTCATACGTCTCGATGTCGAGATGATCAATCAAAGGGTTTTTCAACATTAAAACTACCTTTTCCAATGGATTTTTGAAGGGCATCTATAGTACTACATTATAAAGTAGTATCCTTATATAAACTTTTTCTATTATATATTAGGGAAAATATCTACATATCCCCTATTTTTAAGTTTTATTTCTTGATAAACCCAATGTTTCAAAAAATATCCACCACTTTAAGTTTATTTTTTAACCTAAACAAATATGATAAAGACATGCTCTTTCTAAATCCAATCATTTCTCTTTCTTCACTTATATATCCCAAACTATTCTCTTTCTCTCTCTTCCTTCGTCTCTGACTTTTTCTCTCCTCCCGTGTTTTTCCAAACACTTCTCTCTCCCAATAACCTCTCACCTCCATGAAACCCGTCTCTCTCTAAAAGTTTGGGAGGATGACTTTTAAAATACGTATGTCTTTTTAGATTTTAAAAGAAATAAAATCTACAATTTTTATGTCTCAATATCTTTTAAAACCTTGAGTTTATTGTAAAGTGAAACTTAAAAATAGAGGATATGGAGATATTTTTCCTATATATTATTTTATATCATACTATATTATATATTATATCATACTATATTATATATTATATTATATCATACTATATCATATATTAAACAATATTATCATATAATATAATACGATACAATCTAATATTATAATAAAATAATATTCTATGACAACATAATAATATGCTGAGGATCCCATTTTCTTGGCGCCAGACTACCAAACACCACAAGTAATAACGGAAGCTATTCTTTGGACAGGTACACCCCGCATAGAACTCTGCTACATGCGCCTTAATCATAGAAGATATGGTAATGTTTGACAAAATTAGAGCAAGGATTAAAAAGTTGTTGCAAGTAGAGTCAATTACCTCAGTCACCTAGACTCAGTGACTTATAACTCGACTTGTCTCGATCTGGGTTTGTCTGCGATTATGGTAATTGAAATTCAAGCAATCTTTCAAACGCTATAGTATGAATGCGGCTTACATCTTGAATATGGTATGTTTTATCATATTTTTTCAAGTGAACGATCTGCAACAATTAAAACAACTAAAATCAAGGAGATTTCTCCAAAATTACATGATAATTGGGCTCTCAAATAGTATGTTCCATCAGAAAATGATGCCTCTGATTCATGCCAAGAGATCTCAAGGACCACTACGTTGTTTTCTACAACTACAGCTGTGCCTGCCATCTCCGCTCAGGCTCCCCACGTATATATTTTTTGGATCATTCCATTGCTATCGGATATGTTTTAAGAGACTGATGTCACGGAATTGCAAATTTGGATGAATTCAATGCATGCTATTGTGTATAGTTTTACAACACTTAGCAGTTAGTCTGAATAATCTTCTACTTTCCATTAGTTATATATGTTTTTTCTTTTATTAGGGATTGGGCAGCATTCTGTACTCTTCTAGGCATGTTGAAGCATTTACTCTCATTGATCTCCATGTACTTTGCTGTATTCAGTGAGCCATGGGTCAAATTACGCTTTTTACTGCATACACATGGAACAGGCACATGTGGTTATCAGAGTTTTTAAGAAGAACATTGAGGAACTGCTCCTGAAAAATTCTGACCAAACACAATTCTTAAGAAGTATCAAAATTCTTAAATGTTAATACAAAAACTGATCAATTCCCAATTTCAGAAAGAAAGGAAAAATAACCACAAGAGCATCCTGTGTCTATCCTTTGTGTAGCTTTTCTTTCTCATTGGTAGTTAAAACTATGATGCTCTTTGGATAGAACCGATAAAATTGGAACAAAGTAAATTACAATGCAGCTAGAAGAAACATTTACATGGTACTCATTATATGAGGTTTAAGGTCACCAAGTAGCATACCTGGAACCTGTTTTCTGCATAATCTTCATATTTGTTCCTTAAAAGTATCATAAATATTGGTTTAAGTTATACTTTTCTTCTGCTTAAACAGTCATCAAATACATACAATTTTTTACCATCAAATAACCACCCAGCCAACCACTGAGTCCTCGACACTCCCTATTCAAAAGTGTACTCATATTTTCCTGGAGTGAACACGTAATTTGATATCAAATCCAGATCTGTATTTAATTTGCTTAGACCCTCGAAAACGTGCTTCCTTGGGGCGATTTCAGTGGATTGTGTTTTCATAAAGGGTTCATTATAATCATCCGCTATTTTTAAAGGGTTTATAGGCAGACAAATAGGAGGTATTCATAGTTCTAGATAAGGTAACATGGCTCCATTTCACCAGGCTTTCCCCAACCTAGTGAGCCCATAAGTGATATAGGTAACATGAGGTTCTCATGGACTGATTTTATTGTAAGCCAATGTGAAGATCAAAAGATATGGAGATCATAAGTGAGAGAACAGTACCACTAAGCCTTGAAAACTCACTTCTGATGTGCTTTCCTGGTTCCACCCCAATGTAAGGATTTCCTGTTTGCCTCAGCCAGGTGTCATATGGCCAGAGCAGCTTCTGCGGATTCCTATAAAAGGAAAAAAGAATGCAAAGTTCGACAAAACCCATCAGACAAAAAAACACATAAATAAATCCATCACAGAGAAAAGGAGAACTATAAATATAAAATAACCATAAATAAAATTAGACGCTCAAAGAAACAGCTATGACAGCTCTCCTAGGAAGAAGTCAAATAAATGAGGCATGAATAATTTCTGGACTGCACAAAATTGTCCCCACCCTGAAAATTTGTTTCTGCACGAGAAGACAGGCATCTAACATCTGCCATTACCAGTTAATGCTAACCATGCCCAAGTCCATGCTAAAAATTTCATTGCAGCATGAAAAGGCAGGGATATCTAGTGTCCAACGTTATCCATGCATGCACATCAGTTGAATACTGTACCAAATATTAGTAAGGCATAATATTAATATGTACAATACAGCGGTACCTAACTATAACCGTCTACATGGATGGGATGGTATACTCAGTTGACAGAAGAAACTCAGAGCTAAGAAAAGAACACAATCAATCCAACTGAATTCTTCTTAAGCCTAAATTATAAAACTTGATCAGATGCCAATGCAAATCATCCACAAAATGCCGAGTAACAATTAAGTCAAATACAATACGCAAATAATGCTCACAGTTAAGCTAAAAAACTGCCCAACCTTGGTTACATCACCCTCAACTCCCTGTCTATGGCTTCGATTTACACAACCAAACACCACCATTTTTTATGTTACGGCTTTATGCTGTGTATGTTTATATCTATATGCAACAAATATACAACTGCATGTCATAAATTTATCTTCCAACTGCATATCTGATTCACATTTAGAAACAATATCTGGTAGACCGTTTTTTAATCTTGAAATTGAATGAAAAGAAATTATTTACAAAATTGAAAAGAACATGTCAAGAAACCAATAATTATAATCTCTCTATTCAATTAATCATATACCAGGGCATATTTCATATATGACTTCCATGATGGTAGTGCAAGTAAAAATTGAAGTTTTCTCTCACGATACTTCTTTGAATAAACAAAAATCAGCAGCAAGCTAATTTGGCTACACTCAAAATAGCCCATTGTCAATGCAACCATCATGATTCCGAGGTTTGAGAACTGAATTGTTGAGGTCGGAACTCAATTGTTCTACGAGAATTACCCACCATGCCATCCCCAACACTACAATGGGTTGAGGCAGGATTCAGCATGTCTACCCTAGGCTTCAATTTAGCTACGAGCTCACTTACTAACTTGAGAATTCCTGACTTTGCATATTCAAATACCTCCTCATTCTCTGACCCTAAATCAAGAACTGCTTGACATAGATTTGACAACTCATTGTGTCGATACATCTGAGGAAGTTGGGAATTATCAAGTATTTCTGTCCAACTTGCATCAAGTACAGTCCCTTTCTTAGCCTCCACTGTCCACCGCTTCATTATGTAGTGGGGTGGGATTTCCCATATACCCCTTATGTTAAATACCCTAAGCATGTGCATACATGGAATGTCAACATTTTGAGCCCTCTTCTCAGAGCTTTCAAAAGCAACAGTGTGGGGCCTTGTCCCCCCATCGCAATCTGCCACCCTATATGTAGACACTTCACCATCCTCAATAATTAAATCACCCAAGCAGTCAGTGGACTTGATTAGCTCTTCTTGAAACAAGTGAAATAGCTTCTGTGTATAAATTTTCGATGCGTGCACCTCAATATAAAAAACTGCCCTCAGCAAAGGGGTAGAAGTAACATCTTTCAAGTCCTTCTCTCTCTCCTTCTGGACTTTCTTATCCTCCAGCTTCCTAGAGAGAGAAAAAAATGAAGGCAGGCTAGTTGCTGAGTCCACATATAAATCGAAGAAACGATTCATCCCCTCACATTTCCGTGTGGTATTCATACCTGCAGTAAACGTCTCTGATAAGTATGTGTCAACCCACTTTGTCCGATATTCGTGCAAATTTCTAAACCAGTCATTTTTTTGAAGCCCATATTTTTTAATCAACAATTAGTGATGACCTTCTAAAACATCTCTGCAAAACCTGGATGACCACACAAGGTGGAGCTCAGCTCTCTTTCAACTTTCCCATGATACACCACCTGCATAAAAGGTGGTGACTCTCAGGGAAAACTTCCTTCACTGCAGCGGTTATGGCAAGATCCAGGTCGGTTAGAATAACACCCGGTTGGTGGCCATGCATTGCCTCTAACCAATTTTTAAACAACCAAACAAATGATTCAGAAGTCTCATCAAATACGAGTGCGCACCCAAAAAAGATAGTGTTCTTGTGGTGATTAACTCCAAAAAAGGGGGCGAATGGCATACTTAAACAGTTGGTCTTGTACGCTGTATCAAAGGTCACAACATCACTAAAATGATGGTGTGAGATCCTTGATCTCAGATCCGTCCATAATATGCCCACAATGTGCCCTGCTTCATCAACTTGCATTTTGTAGAAGCAGGATGGGTTAAGCTCCATCATCGTGCTCAACCATCCCTTCACAAGGTTCCCTTCTTCTCCCTTTATTCTCTTCGTCAATTCCGCTCTGAAGTCCTCAAAGTCTTTCTGGGTGAATATGACATTTTCCACCCCACCTGCTTGCTCCAAAAAATTATCATAAATTTGTCTAGATTTCACCATTGCAGATCCCATTGCCTGTATGTGATCCTTGGCAACCGATGGGAGCGGAGAAGGTGAGCTTGCCTCGGGTTAGGTACCCATGGTTGTGTTCCTTCACAAACTTAGTCACAACCCATTGACCATTTTCTTTTTTAATTATGCGTACCATAGCGTTACAACCACACCTCGTGACTGCATGTGGTTGTCTAGCCCCTTCATGCTTCTTTCTGCGATAGCCTTCCCTACTGCAGCACAATTCTATGGTGTGAAGCTCTCCTTTCTTCTTACGTACCCTATTAACTCGGACACTAAACCCCACAAATCTAGCATAATTGTTATAGAACTCATATGCTTCTGCCTCTCTCTCAAATACCATGTCTATGCATGATTCACCATCCATACCCCTATCTGAAGCTATCTCTGCATCATTACATGTGGTTCCTTTGCTCCACATCAACTAGGATCACATGGAGCGGGGAGTCTACCATTTCATCAACATCATTCTCACCCATGTGGATTCTATGGAGTCTACCATTTCATCAACATAGAATGAGTGCATTCTATGGGAGTTGGCATGCTGTAAAAAGGCAAAAGGTCCATTTGAGACCCTACAATGTACCTATACAAACCACAGAGACCAATTTTCACTACCAATATAGAGTTGGAAACAAAAAGAGCAACAGAATAGCGACCCTCCCACATTTTAACTTCACATTCAACATTCCAAACAGGAAAAGAACTCCATAACTAGTCATAGTGAGTAATTTGACAAAGCTTATTGAAACATTTACACACACTACCAAATAGTCGCAATCTATTTGGTGTGAAAGGATTGTGAGGCATTAATGACCAGAGATCTTAGGTTCCTCTAGTCACTCTAATAATGAAATCATGTAGCATGAAGAGTCACAGAGTAATGTACCTATTCCTATGAATAGAAAAAAAGAATCAATCAACAGACATAACAAACTTAATTACAAAGATGCAAGAACTCAATCATGCTTGTAACCAGGAGAAATTAATATAAAGGAACAAAGTAAGGAATATTGTGGCTTCTAGGATTTTAACTCTAGAATTGTGTGCAATGAATGACCCTTTCCTTGAGGAGGAAAAACAAACCCAAATTCGCTAGAAACTAAGAGGAAATTCAATAGAGAAGGATAAAAGTTTCAACCAAAGCAGAAGTACAAACTAGAAAGCCACTGATATGATTAATAAAGCAGCATACTTTAAGCTTAATAATGATTTAACGGAAAACATAAATTCAATGTGTACTATCCAGAGAAAAACTACAAAGATGAAGAACCACATATAAGACTGATGAACAAGGCATAATTTAATAGCGCCCAAAACTTCATAATAATCCACAAAAAACAAGTCACTGAGCAACAGCATACCTTGGTTACCCTGTATAGGGCAGGTCTGCAAAGTACAGGCCCGAGTACTGCTCATGAACAGAGTTTCTGCCCCTTTTCGTATTTTTTTTTCTTCGTTTTTGAGCCCTAGAGTCCCCTACTTTCACCCAAATTTAACCCTCAACCAGATATTCTTGCTTGATCTTCCCATTAAAAACATTGGATTCAAGAGAAAACATTGGATTTCACAGGTTTTTGAGATCTAAGGTATCAGGCAAGGGTTTGACCGAATTCAAAAAAAATTTGAAAGCTTAGCAAATTTGGGTCGATCCTTGACGTGCTTTGAATCCAGAGCCTATTTAAGGTTCTTGATCCACCCTGGGATTCTTTTTCTCAAAAAGAACCCAAAAAAAAATTACGGCCAGTTTGGATGTCAAATAAAAAACTTTCAAATTAAAAAAAAAAAAAACAAAACAAAACAAAAAACTGTAAACTATTTCACCCTGAATTAGAAAATCTTGTTAATTTTGTTTCATTGTGCTGGTAAACTGATTGAATGTCTGTGAAAAAAAAAACATTGAGAAATATGTCTGTGAAAAACTAGAAGCAGATTTTATCGTCTAGATGTGTCTGTTTGGCTCCTTTACAACAAATTTTGACCCAATACATTTCATTCTTCTTTTTTTTGTTGGTCATTTGTTGACAAAGTCTTGAAGAGGTATCTAAAATAAAGGATTTTTATAAGACACTAGGAATGCCAGAAGTGCTCTCAGTAGAAAGCGAAGAGCCTTAGAGTTACGCCATGCCCAACTATAATTGCAAGGTAATACCCAACTATAATTGCAAGGTAATAAGCATACATACCCATGAAATCATACATGGCTGCCCTTGCAATCAGCTCAATATGAAATATGAAATTGCCGAAACCAAGCTTGATAGTCCTTGAAGCAACAAGCCTCGCCCGATTTTGCTTCACATACATTAAATTTGGACATCTCTCTACATTAATTTCAATATTTATAATCCCTTATTAGAAGAAAAACAAACCCCACGACCAATTAAAGGGCAAGATTCCTCGGACCCATTTCCAGTAACTGAATTACCGGTAAACTGTACATGGGTTTCCATTGTTTCCAAATCTTCAGAAGACGAAACCCAAGTTCGAGACCCAGTTTCAATAACGAAATCACTGTTAATTTGACCAATCTCTAACTGCAACCAATCTCAGATTCTTCTCTGGTTCAATACCCAAATGCATTTCTGGAACATTACTCCTTCTATCTCCTCAAGCTAACAATTTTCAAAGTGTTGAATTCGAACCAGAACTTGAAGGCCTGCTCCCTTTTCTTTCTTTCAAGTAAGAACACTAGTCCTCGAAACCGAAGGGCATACGTCGTAGCTACTCTTCCTACCCGGATTGACTTACTGACTGACTGTACCAACTGACCGACCAAAGCAAGGAGTCTTTTGCTGCTCCTGTGCTTACTATAAAGTTGAGTTTCTTCTGCCACGACCAACTTTATCTCTCGCTCTAATTCAGTACCTATATTTGATTGTGAATTTGAAATATTAGCCTCATGGTTCCTTGAAGCCACAAATTCCCAAGAGTCGAACTCAAACTATTACTGATAGAACCAAAAACAGAACCTTGAATTTCTCTTTCCACTAACCAGATCATATATGGCCATTGACCTGATCAAAACAAGGAAAAATTAACAGCCCTAGCCTAATAAATAAGAGCAGGGAGTTTGTCATCTTTTGACACAGCAAGCTCAACTAAGAGCCTCAAAGGACCACAAGGTACCAAAACAGAAAAGTGGTCACACCCATAGCAATTAACAACACCCATGTGCTCCATTGAGCAGGTGAACGACAGAACCAATAAGCCATAAAAAACGAGGTATAAAAATTGGGTCTTTATCCATTGAGAAAACCAAACCCACAATGGAGAAATTAAAACCAGAGAACTCAAGCTCTGACTCAATCTAGTAGAAAATATTGGGGTTGAATAAGAAACAACAAAAAGTCCCACCACCCATGAATTAGAAGAAAAAAAAACAAAAGCAGGGAACTTGTGTATATTCCAGCAATGGAAATTCAAACCATTTTGGGGCAAATTTATCAATTTTTTCTATTTCATTGATGGTAGAGATTCTATGTTATCCAAACACTTCATCCTTGTTGGATTATTGGGTGCCAAGACTCCGGCACTATATCGACACTTCCTAAGACAGGGACACTAAGAAGATATATAGGGCACAATGGTGGGGTTTGATCCCAAGATGCCTTGTGTCAAGTTCATGCTATCTGCAGCTGTGCCGACCACATGTAATAAACATAAACTATTTATTATAGGGATTGTATACAATGAGGCCATTTATCTTTAATAAAAGGAGGTCACAATCACTACAACCATTCGATGTGAAATTTGATAGCTTGGGTGCGTCACAAAGTTTGAGAAAATTTCTTTTGAAGTTTGAGCTCAGTCAATGGAATAAATGCATCCATCTAGTTTCACATCCAATGGTCAGGATTAGATGTAACCACCTTGTACCAAAGATAAAAGATCTCATTGTATACTTTTCCTTTATTATATGGAAAAGTATACGATGAGACCAATTACCTTTGGCACAAGGTGGTTACAATTAGTCTTGATCATTGGATGTGAAATTGGGTGGCTGCATTTATTTCATTGACCAAGCTCAAAGTTCAAAAGAAATTTTCTTGAACTTTGTGACACATTTAATCTATCGGATTTCACATCGGATGGTTGTAAATAATTGTGACCTCCTTGTACCAAAGGTAAATAGCCTCATTGTATACAATCCCTTATTATATAAGCATTAAAGTTGCTTTAATATAAAATAACAATTTCACGTATGTGTTTTGCCATATTGGTTTTTTAGGCTGAAGTACTAGACACTTAGATATCGGATTCAGACACTCGTGCCTATATCTAGGTAGGTAGCATATCTGAGATTCAAACTAAAGCATTACTCCTTTCAGTAAAACCCCACCTAGAATTAATTTTAGAACCCCAAATTTTGGGGATGTAACATCTTCAATCAATAGATTAACCTCAATAAATAAATAAATAAATCTAATTACACCCCCTATGCACTTGAAAAAACATAATGTCACACGATTGAATAGAGACCATCCAATTTTTGGATGGTGAGATCTAAGTGTTACAAAACTCAAACTTCAATTTTTTTTTTCCTTTTGAGAATAATCATCCAATGATTCTTAGGCAGTTTCCAAAATTTTAGATTGAAAAAATTCTCCCAAGTAAGTCTTCTAACAGGTAGAGTAGAAGTAAACTATGCTCCAACTGAGGGAGCATAGTTTTGTTAAGAGAGAGATAGTAGTGCCTTGTCCTTTCTATAATTGTCTGGGTTATTCACCCAAGGGTAACATAGTCATTTATTCTTTTGTAAGATATATATGTATTCTTTTCAATGTACATGGTAAGTAAGCAATTCGTATGAAGTGGATTGTCTTCTCTCTCAAACTTCCCAATCTAGGATTTGCAATTCCTAACATGGTATCAGAGCGAATGGAATCTACCAATCTCTCTCTACTCAAGCACGATCAAGCACGATCAGTAAGTGCACTGCCTCTTTCTCTCACTAAATATTACATTGCATCTCTCTCTATGTTTCTTTGGTGATCCACTCTTCCAACTTTCAACTCCTTCTCTTTGCAAGTCACCATTTCTCTCTTTAAAGATCTACTCAAGCATGATCTGCCTCTTTCTCACTCTAAATTTGTTATTCTTAAACTCAAATCCTTGTGCTTTTCTCTAAAAGAAAATCTTCTCCAAAGTCACCTCTTTACGAACCTTTCTTGTCCTTGACCCACAAAGTGTTCTCTTGTCATTTCTTCATGAAGTATCTTCCATATGATATTCTCCTTACCATCTTGTAAACAAGAAATTGTGGTCCATTTGGCTTACAAAAATGGTGAAGGTCAATTTATCATCAGCACAATAGGTACCGAACTTATCTCTGAAACTTATTATCGGCACAATAAGTACCAAACTCACTTCTGAAACTTCGGCTACTCTTACACCGAAGTAGTATCTGTTAGAACCCAGTGACCATCGGCACACTAAGTACCAAACTTACCTGGGTGGTTGCTCTTGAAACTTCGGCAATCTTGGTATCGAAGTTACACCTGTTAGGTCTCACAATCTCGACACCGAACTTACCTGGGTGGTTGTTCTTGAAACTTCGGCAGTCTTGGTACCAAAGTTACACCTATTAGCTCTCAGAATCATCTATTTTCCGTAAATATTTTCTGCCATGGCCTCGCTCAATTTTCCATCCTTCATCTCTATCAAACTTTGTAGAAACAATTATCTAAAATGGAAGGCCAAAGTCCTAAATTGCATTGAAGGCCCAAATCTTGAAGGTCATCTTGATGGGTCTAGTCGACCACTGAATGAATATGTCTCTGAGGAACCAAAAGAAGATCAAGGCACCAATCTGGACCCGTCACAAGTCTCCCTTAAGAAAGAAATTGATCCTAAGTTTCTAGAATGGTGAATGAAAGATAAAACTTTGTTGAGTTGGTTACTTTCTACTCTCTCTGATGACTTGCTCACTGAAGTGATGCACCTGAAGACATCTCAAGAAGTGTGGGAGATCCTTTATAATGCATACCAAAGGGAAACATTTGCCAATGTCCTCCAACTCAAGACTGAACTGATCAACTTACAAGAGGCCCACATTTTGTAACTGAATGTTTGAATAAGTTGAAGATTACATGTGACCATCTTGCAGCAGTGGTATTCTAGTAAGTGATCAAGATATGGTTCTTTATACACTCAAAGGCCTTGGTCTAGAGTTTAAGTCTTTTGAGACATCCTTATCAACCAAACCTCACTTTCCTTCATTTTCTGAGCTTTGAACTTCTCTTCTCACATATGAAGGTCGTTTTGTATCTTCATCAATGGTTGAGAGTAACCCTCGAGCGCTTATTAGTACACCATCATGGCAAAGAGGTGGCTATAGTCGAGGGTGTGGACGTGACGGACGTAGAGGTCGTAACCAAAATCAACAAGGTATTATTAGAATGAATCCAAATTATCACCAACCCCAACAACCAAGAGTGGGCATACGACCTCGTGTTACTTGCCAATTTTGTGGAAGGTATGGGCACATTGCTAAAAACTGTTGGGACATCAAGGGTACCTCATCTTCTCATGATGCACTAGCTCACGACTTCAGCAACATGTCAGTCACTGAACCAACCAATTGTTCTTGGATTATGGACACTGATGCAACTGCTCACATGACAGATGACAACTCCCAACTTCGAGGTATGGGTCCTTATTATGGTTCTTGCATGGTATTCACTAGGGATGGCACTGCCTTGCGCATCACTCATACTGGTACTGGCTCCATTTCTACTACCCTTGATTCTTTAAACATTCCAAATGTTTTACTTGTGCCAAAATTAAAGAAACAATTCATATCTACATCTCAATTTACTAAAGATTTTAAATGTAGTTTTGAGTTTACTCCTCGTGGTTGTGTTGTGAAGGATCGATAGAGTAGGAAGGTGATTGCTGAGGGAGTGCTGAGAAAAGGACTCTATGTACTCCAAAATGATCGACTGTATGGTCTTGTTATTTCCACTCAAAAACTAAAAGAGGGATGTCTATTTTGTGGCATGAGCGCTTAGGTCACCCTAGTTTCTCTGTCATTCATCGTCTTGGAAAAGTGTCAACTCTCCCAAATTTTGTTGATGATTTACCTTCTAGTTCATTGTGTTCATCTTGCCAGTTGGGCAAGCATTCTAAAGTTGTACTTAGCTCCACTGGTAGAAAAACTAATGCCCCTCTTGATCTAATTCATAGTGATGTTTGGGGTCCAGCTCCAGTTACTTCGTTGTTTGGCTCTCGGTTTTATGTAATTTTTGTGGATAATTATACTCAATATACTTGGGTATTTTTCTTGAAATCAAAGTCTAATGTGTTTGATTGTTTTGTTAAGTTTCACACCTATGTTGAACGCCAATTTTCTTGCAAACTTAAGACTCTTAGGTCTGATAGTGGTGGTGAATTTACCTCTCATGCATTTAGAGAATATTTGAGTCAACATGGCATCCACCATCACTACTCATGTCCCTACACACCAGCACAAAATGGTGTTGCGGAACGCAAGCACCATCATATTGTTGAGAGCAGTTTCTCAATGATGTTTGCAAGTGGTCTCCCGTAGTTTCTTTGGCCATAAGCCTTCTCCACTGCACTTTATCTCATTAATAGATTACCAAGATCACCCTCTCAATCTGACAGGTTTGATTCACAACCTTCTTCAATGGAGCACTCACCACAACCCCATCTTTCACCTATTTCAAACCTTGATGCATCTCCAATCACATCACCTAACCTACCTGAACCACCCTTCGAAGACCTACCTATGCCACAACATCGTTCCTCTCGTTCTACGCAAACCTCTTAAACACCTATCAGATTATCATGTCTACTCTGCAGCTACTTCCACTCCAAACTCCACCCTGCACAGTGCAAAAACTTAGTACCCAATTGAAAGGTTTACCTCTTGTTGTGAGTTGTCTTCCAATCATAAAGCCTTTGCAATGCAAATTTCCCAAATCCAAGAACCAACTATGAAGATGCTGCCTCTGACACTGGTTGGCTAGCTTCAATGAAAGAAGAAATCGATACCCTTAAAAAGGAATATGACATGCGTTTTAGTACCATTGCCACATGGGAAAAACATTGTGGGCTCAAAGTGGGTGTACAAAGTCAAGGTCAGATCAGATGGTTCAATAGAAAGGCTAAAGTCATGACTGGTAGCCAAAGGGTTTAGTCAGGAATATGGCATTGATTATGATGAAACCTTTAGCCCAGTTGTTAAGGCTCCCACTACACGTTGTATCTTGGCTATGGCCTCTAAACTCAAGTGGAAACTTTATCAACTTTATGCGAAGAATGCATTCCTTCATGGTGACTTGAAAGAGGAGGTGTACGTGCAACAACAGGCTTTGAAGATCCCTTACATCAACATTATGTTTGTAAAATTCCACAAAGCTATCTATCGTCTTAAGCAAGCTCCTCATGCATGGTTTGATAAATTTAGCTCTTCACTCAATAATATTAGTTTTCGAAGGAGCAGAGTTGCCTACTCTTTATTTCTGAAAAAGTCAACCTCAGGTATCATGCTGCTCTTAGTCTATGTGGATGACATTATCATTATTGGAAATGATATTGGAGGCATTGAACATCTTAAGAAGGTTTTGAAGTTGAAATTTGAAATGAAAGACCTTGGGGAATTGAAATACTTTTTGGGTATTGAAATTCATCAGACAACGGGAGGAATTGTTCTCACTCAACACAAGTATATCCTTGATCTACTCTCCAAAGCTAAAATGTTGGAGTGTAATCCTGTACCTACCCCTACTGAAGTAAACAAGAAGCTACGGACTGAAGAAGGGGTGCTCTTACCTAACCCATTTCTTTATAGAAGTATTGTTGGCAGCCTCCAGTACGTTACATTTACACGCCCTGACATTGCCTATGCTGTAAATACAGTCTGCCACTTTATGCAATCTCCTCGACAACCTCATTGGGAAGCAACCAAAAGAATTTTGAGATACTTGAAAGGTATTATACATAATGATTTATTCTATGCGTCCTCGGGATCTCTAGACCTTAAAGCATACAAGGATGTTGATTGGGCAGGATGTCCCAATGATCGTCGCTCCATTACTGAATTTTGCATCTTCTTGGGCAATAGCCTTATTTCTTGGAGCAGCAAGAAACAAACATCAGTATCAAGATCAAGCACAGAGTCGGAATATAGAGCTATGAACACTGTGGCAGCGGAAATTACTTGGTTATGCATGCTTCTTAAAGTAATTGGAGTTTCCTTGACTAAGTCCACCACTCTAGCCTGTGATAATCAAAGTGCAATGCGACTAGCTACAAAACCTATCTTTCATGCCCGGACTAAACATATAGAGGTCGATTATCACTTCATCAGGGAAAAGGTCATATCAGGTGCTATTTCCATGGTATTTGTTCCTTCATCCCATCAGCTTGCAGATATGTTCATTAAAGCATTGACTAGAGGCAATTGAGTCAATAAACAAGCTCTCAATGCACCAAATGCTTGTTCGGCTGGAGGGGGGGTGTTAAGAGAGAGATAGTAGTGCCTTGTTCTTTCTATAATTGTCTGGGTTATTTACCCAAGGGTAACATAGTCGTTTATTCTTTTGTAACACATATATGTATTCTTTTCAATGTACATGGTAAGTGAGCAATTCTTATGAACTGGGTTGTCTTCTCTCCCTCTCAAACTTCCCAAGCTAGGGTTTGCAATTCCTAACAAGTATATGGGCTTCAACCAATTCCCCTAAGTAGGTGTTTTGCCCACAGGAGCACATGTACACTCTGATCCCGTAAACAGCTATCACTATCAAGAATAATATCCAGAGCATTAATAAGAACTAGACCAACATCAATGTAATGCTTTAAAAACTAGTATTTGATCATGAAAAATGTTTTTTTAAAGGATTAGAAAAATATTCAGGTGTTTACAATGACACCTCCCAACCCAAAGAATTGTCTGTGTGAGAGAGAATGTCAAGAATAAACAAAAAAGTAATACATGAAAGATTCAATCTGCTTTTTAGAAGAAAGTTCTTTTCAAATTTTCTCAGAGAAAATGATAACATGTGTATATTTCTTCATAATGTGCTTCTTCTCTTTTTGAATAAAAAGAAATAAATTCACCCATTTACGACATTTGCCAAAAACTTTGATTTTAAAAAAAAAATGGGCTTTAAAAGGGGTATTGCCAAATACCGGCAGGCCTTTTTACAGGCATGGACTGAATTGAAGAATGTAGAGCCAAGGGTTTGCACACAAAAAACATAACCTGCAAAATTCATGAAGATATAAGCTCTTGTAACATATAATATCAAAAGTAACATTGGACCCATATCGAATTAATAGTGCTTTATTAGAAATGTAATCATTTATTGGTACTATCACATACAATTGGAACAGGGCCCAATAAAACTACACAGATTGATATGGTAATCTATGAAGGAAAATCAGGTGAAGCATGTGATTGAGGGGATAGGGTACCTTTTATAGAAGGATGAGAGATGCAAGATAAGCTTCTGGAATTGCCGCCCTCCATACAGATGTGAGAAAGAGAGAATAGTTCACTCTTGGCCTGCGCAGAAACGAGGAATTTAGAGAGAGAGAGAGAGAGAGAGAAGAACTTATATACATAGAGAGAGAGAGAGAGAGGAATTTTGAGAGAGTGAGGAACTTAAGAGAAAGAGAGAGAGAGAGGGTAGTTTCCCCGCCCGCGCAGAAACGAGGAATTTGAACAGTACCAAAGCCCAAAGGCTTTGAACCGTACGTTATAGTGACAAATATCATCTGAACTTTTTTGTAATTCCGGGTTTCACATTTTTTTGGCCGCCACCAACACGGAGGGGAAAATATTTGAGAAATTTACCTACGGATCAGCTGTCCGGTGTTTTAAATACCGGACAGCTATCTTTCCTCGGAACCAGGAAGCCCTGTCTCTCTCTCCAAAACCAAAGGTCCACTCAATCAACTATGTTGCTGATCTTGCCGACACAAAAATCACAATACAAATATATGATCATCAACAAATTTTTCCGTCAAATTTCCAGAAATTTCTCTCACAGAGGGTTGAGGGAAGGGACTGAAATCCGCCGGTCAATAAAACAGAGAAATCTGGGAAAATTTGCGATGATTTTTCATGATTCTAAATAGTTTTCTGGCCATTTTAGCTAAGCATAAAGCTGGAATCGATTGATTTAACCGATATTTCTAGGTGATGTAGGTAAATTTTAGGTGAAGTTTGCAGGGTTCCAATCACTTTCGGGTGTATTTTTGGTGTGTCTTTTGGATTGTGCATTTTTTGGGGCGAAATATGTAGGTGGAGATTTAGGAAATTCGGGGCGATTTAGGAATTTCAAGGTTGCAGAAGGTGCTGCTTTGCAACTCAATCGATAGCTTCGGTTCATTATGAAAAGACTTGATGATTTAAGTCTCTCTCTCTACAGTGAACATGAAAAACGTTGTTTATTTGGAGCTCAAATCCTTTCCAATCAAGTTGTAAATTGTTGGTTGAATTGCGGGATTCTTTCCATGAACAGTAATACGAAGTGAGCATTTAAGGTTTTTTTATTTTCTATGGGGTGGACTTGTATTTGTAGATAGAAAAAAAGATGGCGTATATAACATTAAGCGTTATAACATTAAGGGATAGCAACCGGACGGCTGTTTTGATTTACACGATATAAACTCTACTAGTCCCGTATTCACATTATCGGATAAGGGGATAACTTAGCTGGAAAAAAACGTGGGTGCTGTCTTTAATTTAAGACAAACGTGATCTCATTTTATAATTGATCATTACATAAACTTTCAAAATATCAATTGCCCGTTGCCAAACGAAAGAGTACACTATGACTCAACATCTACTGTCCATATTTATCACAGACGGCGGACGCTGATGTTGCCCATTTCCACCACAGGCTCGTTTTTTAACGCAAATAATGTTTGCAGAAGTGATATATACCTTTTTATAAACTGCGGAGTTGGCTAATTATTTAAGGGAAAAAATTTATATAAGGTTGTAACCTTATAAAAAAGGTACACCTCAAAAATCATAGAGTGTTCATTCATAGAACTCTTCAAGCGATCATCTCAATCTTAAAACGAATGCACATGGAGAAACAAAAATAATTTTAAGTTTAAAAATTAATGCATATTGTAACAAATTATCTAGACTGTCTATTTTCGAAATTTTCAAATGTTTCTTGTTCTGCTTGATCTATACCATTTTTTAAAAGTTAAATTTCATAATTGAGGATGAAAAGATATTTTGAAGCCATCATAAAGTTTCAACACCAAACCGACATTTATAAATAAATTTTATAGCTGTACCTTACTTCCACAGTACAAGAAAGTAACCTTGTACAAACCTCACCCTCATTTAAGAGGCTCAAACAGGTCGTCCAAATGAATGGTGGCGAAGACCCGTTAAGTCGTGGAATCGAAAGGAGTCAAGCTTAGGGTTGAATGGTTGGCAAGCATATCTCTAGTTCGATTCCTACCTTTATAAATGATCCTACCATTGAACTACCCTAAAAAAAAACAAAAGGGTTTTGAGATGGTCAGGGTTGAGAGCACCCTTTTATACACATAAAAATATACTATGATTTGGGGTGCTAGCACAAGCCATCGACCGTTCAATATATTCAACAGACATGGATGGTGAACCATTATCCTACTGTTCAGTGCCATAAAGAGCTAGTGCCTAGCCTCCATCAAACCATTGAGGGAACAACTTGCCATACCCTATTATACCTGTTTCGGCCCTATATATGTTTCAGCTATTTGGTCCCAAAGATCTTTAGGCTCAACAGGTGCCCAACTTTTAAGTCTCGGTCTTACTCTTTTTTTAGTAGATTAGAGGGGAAGGGGTCACTTACTCACGGTAAGAATAAAGATCAAGACCTCATATTGTGGCGTTTTGAACCCAAGTGCCTTTGATTTAATTTAATATGTTGGAAAGTAAACGTTCTGAAAAATATATAAGAAAGGTATATAGAAAGACCACTTAATTTTGTTGTGGGGAGATCACAATTATCCTCAATCATTAGATATCCAACAAGGATTGAGGGAAGTATTTATTTTTGGGTTTTGTTGAGTTAGAATTCATATATAGAGCAACTCCAAATTATATATCTTTTGATTTTTCATGATCATTTTTATTTTTCTGACAAATAATAGTCCCGGATTTTTCAAATAAATGCTACACATGAATTTATCTATATCATTTTAATGCTAGATGTAGTTGTTATGAGCTAATCCACAGCCAGAGCTAGCATTTTTTTTATTTATTTGTGATTTGCTTATGAGAGAGGTATTTTTATACTAAAAAAGTCTTAAGAATATATTTGTTTTTCTTCAATCATTTTAAGTAACTTTTATGCTTACACTTGATTTTTTTCATCACTTATTTGTGTTTTAGCAGGATATACTTGTTTTTCATGATTTATTTATTCTGCTTTCATCATTTTTTTTATTTCTTCTTTGTATCATACTTTTTGGTCTTACTCGCCATCGTGTACATTATTTCCCATGAATTCGTTATTTGATAAATCATCATATTTAATAACTTTCAGTGGCTTTGTAATATAATCTAAAACCAATAAGTGCTACATTTGTAATATTCATAGAGAAATGCTATAGTTGTAATATTCAGTTAAAAATAAAACGTATTTGTTATTTCTTCAATTGCCCTGACCGACTTATTCCTCAACCAACTCATTCAGTAACACATCAAACGACTATTGCTAATAAAGCATAATACATGCCTATGGAGGAGCACGGTTAAAAAGTTATTCAATCTAACACAAATAAATCCCTCTTAGTCCCTAAAATTCATTTTTCTGTTCAAAAGTTGCACTAGGGAGAAACTTTTCATCAAAATTATCATTTTTTTAGCCTAAAAACCCGATGCACAATCTCCATCATACATTTTCTTTCTCAATATTCAAACGAAATGAGATTAAAATTTATTTGAAATATTGGCGTGAAACTGCTTTAATAAACCCCTATAACTATTTATTAAATCAAACAGTAAAATAGAATAAATTGAAGATAAAAATTTATATAGAGACAAGGCTCTAAACAATCAAATTAGAGCCTACGTAAAAAATTTCACTAAAAGAGATTGTGTTGATGCTAAGATATCTTCAAATTGGTCAACTCTTCCTCCAAAATTTCAATATTAGAGGTTTTGATACTCAGATATCTTCAAATTGATCATCTCGACATCAAAATACATAACATAATAACAAAATGGATTTCAAGCAATGAAAATAATATATTTTGTAACAGATTTTTGGACCATCAATTTTCAAAATTTTCAAAATGTTATAGATCTGTCGATCTACACTATTTTTTAAGCTTTAAAATTTATAAATAAAGATGAAAATATATTTTAATCCTATCACAAAGATTTCCAATATTAAAACTACATTTCTCAACGCAATTTGAAGGTAGGTTTTAATTTGATCTTTAGAATACTCATCATTTCACCAAATTCATTCTAATTTATCCAAATATTCCTATCATATGGATCTGCAAAAACCCGAACAAAACCTCTAAAATCGATTTTCATCCGTCTTGTAATTCTTGTCATTTCTTCTTATTTTGAGGTACTTCCCAAAATGTTTTTTATTTCATTTATTTCCTTCTATTAGATGTCTAAAAGACAAAATTTATACACATCCACCTCAACAAAATGACATTGCAAGGATGAACGCACCGTCCAATTTTTGGATGGTCGTTCAGAGTCTCAATATCCAAAACTGCCTTAACATAGCAGATAAAAATCAGTAACATATTAATCATATTAATCCAAGTCAACCTATAAAATATTAAAATCAAAGTGGTATGCAAATTCCAAATGATAATTCAAAGGTCCCTAGCAAATAAAACCAGCAAAAATTCAAACCAGAGGATAAACTCATCTGGTGACTATACGTTTTGAATACATCCCACAATACCCAAGAGCATCAAAGAAAAGGAAAATTTCTTTTACCAACTCGGCATATGATCCACAACACTAGAAACCTCAACTACACAAGTTTATATAGTTCATGGGATTTTAGGATTTCAGATCTAAGTATCAGCGATCGTGACCTCAACCTCGACACCGGGCTCAATGGTGATGGACGTGATCTGCTTCACAACCTCAGGAGAGCTAACCAAATCAATCACTCTCTTGTGAACCCGGAGTTCAAAGCGATCCCATGTATTTGTTCCTGGTTTATGTCAAGAAAAACCAAAATCAGATTTTTGTGCAGCGATATGCCAAGATAAAGAAAAACAGAAATTAACATTAACAACATGGATAGAGAAATAAAAGAACCAAATGGAACATAATGCAAATCCATTTACACCCAACTCATTCCAGATATTTTGCCAAATTTCAGTGCCAGACCCTGGCATGTGTTATCCAACAATACATTGCATTCCTGACTAAATTATGGTTAAACTTCAATTCAAATAGAACAATTTACGAGATCCTCTAATTTCAGGCATCCTTGTAAAATCAATTCCTATTTTCCAGATTTCCAATTAGTTGTGAAACTCAGCAAAATTTGTGTGCAAATCATATCGAAAATGATAACGCAACTGTAAAATCCAAAACCTGTTTTTCTTTTCTAGATCGATACAAAACCAAAACCCATTAAAGGCAAGAAAATAGATTTTGATAAATGGCAGATTGCCAAAAACATTAAGACTTGGTAGCCACAAACATCAATTCCTATTTTCCAGATTTCCAATTAGTTTGTGAAACTCAGAAAAATTTGAGTGCAAATCATATTGAAAATGATAACGCAAATGTAAATTCCAAAACCTGTTTTTCTTTTCTAGATCGATACAAAGCCAAAACCCATTAAAGGCAAGAAAATAGATTTTGATAAACGGCTGATTGCCAAAAACATTAAGACTTCGCCACAAAGGTGCACAGGAGTGAATATAACATTCTTTTTTATGCCAACCATAAGTCCTTTTATCATGAAGTCTTGAGCCAAAGAAATCACAAAGAATCAGAGCAACAATTTATAGGTCATCTTGTCGAAGAGCTCAAACATTACAGCTCGTGCAGCTAAGTCCAAATTAGGATCAAACCAGGTAGCCAAGTTACTCGGCCTCAGTATGGTGCTGAGGGAAGTTCAGATTAAAGGCTTGGGCTGAATGCACCCATACAATACTCGTCTGGGTGAATAGTGTATGAACTTACCAAGTACGGTAGGACTCCGACTCGCCCAAGCCCTACAGGACTTGGGCAAGTCTGTACAGTACCTACTCGAGTACTACTAAAAAAATAATAATCGAGGGGACTCTCTCTCTCTCTCTCTCNCTCTCTCTCTCTCTCTCTCT